CTGTTTACGGAACTAAGTACCGCATCAGCCTGGACCATCAGCTGCTGACCGACCACGGCGTGCTCTACCCCCAAGCCCTATGCAATGGACTCGACTTTGTAGTCGCCCTGAAGCCAGCCGCTTCTTTGTGAAAGAAAAAAATAAAACCGAACACGTGACTCTGCAAAAGTTCTACGTTGAAAACAAGTTCGGGCTGCTCATCGATCTGCGCTCTATGGCAGACCGCTAAATGCACGGCAGCGGTGTGCGCCTTGTGAACACCACAGACGGCGTCCAGCTGGCAATCGAACGTACCGCCACCGGCTCCAACTGAACTGCCACGTGTTCGTGATCTCTAAATCCCAGTTTAACGTCATGGAAAGACAGCTAGAATCTGTGCAGTTTTGATTTGGGCATGTGAACTTTGAATAAAAAGGACCCCGGCAATATTCCCTTCGACGCGCTCATCGTAGGGCCGACCAACTCAGGCAAACCGCGGTTCCTCGTGGACCAGCTCTGCGGCCCTTTTTGCGGCCGGTTTGATTACGTCGCGCTCATCTTCCCGACGTTCGCTTATAACAAGACCCTCTACCGTTTCGCTGAGAGAGATCCGCGGCTGTTTGTTATCATCTGCTATCATCATGAAGTGGAGCTTTGGTTTAAATTTGCGAGTTTCGTTTTTGAAGGCGCCAACACGCTGATAGTCCTTGATGACTGTGCGGCCTCCAAAGACGTGAAAGGGCGCACCGGCGAGCTCGTGAAACTCGGCTTTTCTGCCCACCAGGCGAACATCAGCGTGTGGGTGCTGACCCAGCAGCTCTCCAGTATCGCGAGGCCGTTCCGTGAAAATGCGGCGGACATCGTGCTGTTTTACACCCCTTCGGCCACAAAGGCGATTGTTGAAGACCACAAAGGCGATTGTTGAAGATTACGCGGGAGAGCTTTCCCAAGAGTCCCTCAAGCAGCTGATTGCGAGGCTGAAAGAGCGCCTGTTCTCCCACCTCGTGTTTTCTCTTCCCCTCTTACAGGCATCGACCGGTCGATGCACGAGATGGCGGCTCTTACGGCTGATGAACTGGCAGCAATGGATGAAGTCCTGCAGATAGTGGAAACCGAGCCCTCAGGCTCTCCCGGCAGCAACGCTCTTGCTCAGCCCGACACCCCGGCCAAGCGTAAACAGCTGGCGATTCTGGTTTCCACAGGCAAAGCAATAGAAGCCGTTGGCGTGCACCTGATGCACGAGCAGGTGAAGCAAAGAGGTTGAAAAGCACTACAAAAGTTATGAGACGTACGTTGGCGCCAAGACCACTGAAACTTCGATTGAAAGTTTCTTGATGTTGGCCACGAAAGCGTTGGGGATGGTGGTGCGGGTCAAAGATGCCGACGCTTTGCAGAATGAGCTGAAAAATGATTATATAATTACTAAAGAGCTGTCTGCCCTGGCAGACGGCCTTGCCTTGAGATGTGGACGGCTGCTTGCGGTGGCCAACGCGGCGCTGATCACGAGAAAACATAATAATAATTAATAATAATAATAATTTATTTCTAGCGCATTCCACTAAAAAATCTCAATGCTCTTACAGAATAAAAATGAGAAAAACGATAACGAAACCAATATAAGGAAAATTGATTTTAGTCCACAGTCTCGACTGGTCGAGGTGTTGTCGGAGCAGCGCCACCCTTCTCGTGATGTATACGGCTATCCGCTTGAGGGCGTTGATGAAGTACCCGGCTCAGCAACTGCTAAATAACTGGTCAGCAATTCCTCAATTAAATATTTTTGTTGAATAAAATAATGGCGGATTCAGAAAACACTCAAACTGTAGCCCAGCCTGCGGAGCCAACACCACAGCTGCAGCATCGGCCAGTCGACGCACGGGAGCAGGTAACTTCAAAAATACCAACTACCGCACCTGTAAAAGAATAAAACCCGAATCGGGTGGCTGCGGGCAAAGCCTTCCAAGAGAAAGCAAAAAAAAAGGCGCGCGAAGAACAAAAAAAAAGCCGCAGAAGCCGCTGTAGCTGCGGGCCTCGTTCCTCCTGTCACTGGTGGTAAAAGCAAAAAGCAGCCAAGCGTTGCTTCGACTGACGAGGCGTCCAATGAAGACACAAAAACGTTTTCAGCACGAATCAATGGCTCAGTATAATCAGCATTTTTGCTTCCATCATTGGCCTTTACTACAAACGCGATGAGATGAAAAAGGTTTTCAGCAATAGCAAGCCACAGCAAACCGCCCCTCCTCCTGCCCCGCTAGCGGGGCCACAAGCCGCCGTCGATACGCAGCCAATTTAAAGAAGAGGGATCCGGCCAATGGATTGACATTTGAAAAGAAAAACATCCAACCGTATATCCTCTCTTCTTCGAAGAAGAAAAACAGATGTCGGAAAACAAGTTCGTTAAAACGATCATGGATACGGCCGTTCTTACCGGCTTAGCCGCCGGCATCGGCTGGATTGCGAAAAAGGTGGTCAAAGAGACCTTTACCGCTGACCGCAGCGGCAGCGCCATGAACTATGCAAAATTCACGGCTGTCCTGGCAGGCAGCATCGCGCTCAAAGATTACCTTGAAGACAAAAAGATCCTCCCAACCAGAAGAGAAAACCACCTTTCAAGCGCGAATACCATGCCGGGTAATCCGGCAGCCCAGGAAATCTAGCTTGCCAGGGGTGTCGAACAATTCATAAGGCATGTGGGATTTCAGATCGGCGCCGCAGTACGCTTTGAACCACTTTTCATAGCTCGTGCCTGGCCTCAGATAGTTGATGAGGTCTACGAAGCGGAAGCCGCTGGTCTTCATAAACATCGTCGTGTGCGCCTTTTTCCCCACTTGCACCTTGGCTGTCGTGTCGGCCACCAGCTCGACGAAACTTTCTTTTAACTGGTTCATATCACAATGCCCAGAGTTGAAACCGACGACGGGGACCTGGTCGCACCATTCTGCGATCACCCTGCGGCCCTTTCCTGTTAAAAAGTGGCTGTCTTCCGGCATGAACTCAGCTCTAACTCGCCTGCGGATGTTCGCCCAGTGCCTCTCCAGCTCTTTCGTGAACTTCTGGATTAGCTCTTTGGGGTTTCGTTCGCAGATATGCGTGGGCTCGCGTTCTAACGTGTCGCCGATGCTCACGGTAATTGGCACGTGGGTTGCTTCGTACGTGAGCGCCGCTGCCACTTCGTTTCTCTGACTTTTATCATGCCGCAATTCAAAATCGTACAAGATCGCGTCAGGATAGGTCCGCGTTTCTTGGTTTGGCAGGGCGTCGTGGGTTTTTTGGACGTCGCATTCCCATTTCTCTATAACTCGATACCGGCTTCTCTCAAGGCGCGGGTCCTTGCTACCATGGCGAGGAAGTGGTTTTCTCGCGTTTGGCTGTGAGTGATAATTTCTTCCCGGGCGTTTGGGAAACATCGGCGGCAGCCGTACCAATGGTAGCCGTGGTATTGGAACACCGTCTTTGTTTTTGGGTCATAACCATCAACTGGCGCTCCCTCAATCCAACGCTCGCCGTCGTGGCCGCATAACTCGTGGTGAATATGTCGGCCCAGCTGCTTGCTTGCGTGCCCTAGCCAGCGGACAGATGACGCAGACGCTCCGGGCTTGCCGTAGAAAACTCTCTCATACGCTGTCTGCGGGGCTTCGACTCTCTTGTTGGGGTAATCAATAACCTTTTTCCCTTGTGAGCATGTTTTACTGTGTCTTTCAAGATTACAGGCTTTTGTGAAGCGCACTTGACACTCCACGCATGCACACAGCCGTGCTAACTTCTTGATGTCTTTTATCAAAAACTCGTGTCCATCATAATTTCCAATCGTCATTATGTTCGGCAGCTTGTCTGAAGGGCTTCTTCTGAGATGCCACAGAATTTCGCCGTTTTTCTGACGCTCAGGCTCAGAGACTCTGATCCCAAGCCAAGCCGACAACTGTTTCCTTTGATTAAGGTGCGTCTCGACCTTATCCAATTCATCAAGAGAAGTTTTGGGGATATTGTTTAGCGCTGTTTTGAGTTTTAAGAACCCCTGCGCGAGCTCTCTCGCCGCCTTTGTGCACCGATCCGGGCGCGCCCCTGATACACAGCAATGCAGCGCCACAATTTGTCGTCAAAAGTGTCTAGCGCCACCATTTGGCGGCCGTAAGCAAGGCTGCGCAGCCAGTCTGGCAACGCGTCTGTGTCTAACAATGGCTGCCTGTCGAGCACGACCTTCACTTGAATGTTGGAAAACTTTACAAACGCCCATTTGGTATTAGGGCGCTCGATATTGTGAGGGTTTAACCGTTCATTTCCCTGCGCATTCAACCATCTTCCCGCTTCAGCAAACTTGTTCATCTAAGGCGAGCCCTTGCGCTGTCTATAATAAACCATTTTCAAATCTGTTTCGGTGTTTACTATGACATACGCATAGACGTAACGAATATAGAAAGCCGAGTTGATGCGTTGCTGAAACTTAGCCCTGATAGAGGGCGTGCTGTTTGCACCCAACCTCTTATCAAAGGTCCATCTGATGAACCTTCTGCCTTTCTTTTAGTATTACATCCCCTCGCGCGCGACATACATCTCCACGATCTCATTCTGAAAGTCAATAATCGGGGGCTTTTTGGGGCGCGCTATTGGGCCGGTCTTGATAAACCGTTTGGTGTGACGGGCGACGTACATCGCTATTCCAAGGTAGGGCTACTGTTCAAATGGTGCGCGTTCGCCCGAGTGCGGCATCAGAAGGCTTACTTTGCGTGCGCGCGGGGCGGTGCGTCCGAGCGCGGCATCAGAAGGCTTAACTTTGCGGACGCACGCAACGCTCCTCAGTAGTAGATAGAGAGTCTGACAAAAACTGGCAGCGTTGCGCGGCGAGGCGAGGCGAGCAATGCGAGCCGAGCCCAGCCGAGCCGCGCAACGCTGCTGGTATTTGTTAGACTCCATCTACTATTCCAGTTATGGAGCTGTGCATTTTCGTGCGTGAAATGGGATCGAGACCTCACCTCCCCACCCTTGCTACCCCTTTTTACAAAGCAGAGGAATTTCACAATTGCTTCTGTTTCACAACTTATTGATTTAATTCCATATACAAAAGCCTTGATTCTTTCTTTTCATGGTGATAACGCACTTAGCAGTTCCTAAAGTTTCTAGCCTAGCCTAGATTTCATTCACCTTAAATATGTTTCTTGCAACATTCCAAGCTAGCGCTTTGTCCTATTTCATCTCTCGAAAGAATAAATACTGCGTTCCCTAAACTAAATGCTTCAAGCCTGCGGATATTGCATCTTAGTCAGTGGTTTGCGATATTGCCTGATAACTTGATTACAACTTGCCGTAACAAAGTCACGTTACAACTGTCGAACCAAGTCGAGTAGTCATCGCAAACTACTAATTATCTGCAACTGATGTACTCTCAACAACAGTGCATTTTACATGACACAGGCTGTTACTTGCTTCAGCTAATTCCTGGATCAAGTCTGGATGCACGTCTTGCCAGCCAGCCAATCTTGGACTCTCGTGAAATATCTTTACTATTGTTCGATTCACATTGAATCCTTGAAGTCTTTTTAGCTTGAAAAGTATCGCATACTGGTGAGAACGGCTCCCAAATTTTTCCTGTCAGTTTCGGGGACACTTCCTCGAATTTTATCTGCACATAAATACATAGCGTCGCATTTTAATATTCTCTATATTACGTAATCTGCTTAAACAATTGTAGGCCTGCGGACTGGTGATACATCTGGGCGTTATCATTTCAACTTATAACGTTTTCCCTCCGTGTTCAGAAGTGGGCGTTTCAGGTAATAACGGTTTTATAACCTCCTCCTCCTCCTTTGCGAGCCTCATGTCACGCTTCAACGAAAACAAAGTCAACAGAAAGAACACCGAGCTAAGGAGGTACAAGCCAGGGAAGAGAATGTACAGTGCTGTTCGCAGACTGGTGACTTCCTTGAGCGGAGGAACAAGCAGAGGAACATTACCGCCAATGATGGAGATAATGAAAAGATATCCAGCGATGGCCGGTGAGCGGATAGTGTTTGGCACCAGTTCTACAACGACAGTCAATGTCACACCAACCCACATTTCACCAATGATGTTGGACGGAATCAAACTGATGAACGCCCATGGCGGTTTCAAAAATAGAGCTCCAGCAGCGAATGGCGCCGCGATTACCTGGAAAAGAAAAAGAACAAAAGCAGTAAGCAAGCATATCGCCTCTGTGGCAGATGACTGCGAAAGCGAAACACAAGTGCAAGTGCGAGAAGATTGGGTAAGAGGATAAGAAGTGGTTGCACAGGCATTTATTTACCATCACAACAGGATTACGCTTCGTTTGGGCTGAGGGTCAGGTACTCTATTAAAGGAGGTCATTTATTGGTTCTTTATTTGATTCTATCCTAAACTTAACATCCTACTTCATAAAAAAATCGCCTATAATACCGTCGTTTACACTTCCTAGCCTGAAATCTGTCTGTCGTCGCAGACTACCTCGTTACCTGATGCTTAACAAATAAGAACTAAAGATGTCAGATCTGAAGTAGGCTTTTACGAAACAAGTCAAGCGAAATTTTTGAGTCTCTCCCTCGTAAAACTATTTTCATCCTGGACACATACCTGGCTAAATATTAGCACCCAGACCCTCATATAAAATCCTCGGTTCTTAATCAAGCGATCAGAGATAAATCCACCAAGAACCACACCCAGGCTTCCTTCGACAAGAGGAATCCAACTCATATATTCACCGACATTCGTTTTCGGATAGTATTTGTTGAAGTATGGTTGAGTGTTGTAGGCCCACACATAATCTCCTGCATCCCTGATTAGCTGGCAAGGAACAGGATCAGCAGTGAAGGACGGATAAACGTTCTTCCCAGTAATAAGAGCTTCTCTCTTAAAACCTCTCGCCGTGGCTGGCTAACAATTCTCTGGGGAAAAAAATGATGAATACATATTGACAATAATTAAAATAAATTAGCTTGACTGGATACCAACAGCTTCAAAAATGTTTGGTTTGTGTTAAATAATATCTGCATGTCAGGTTTCTCATTTGAATATTGAAGTTTGCCCGTTTGTTTTTCATCAAAGTTTGCTTTCTTATTCATGGGCACCCAATGCAGAAATTTAAGCAAGGTCCGTAATAGTTGCTTTTGTCTCCCAAATTGCTAACTAGTGGGAATATTCGTGATTTAATCTCTTTTTATTAAACTCTTTACTGTGAACTTTATTCAGATGTAAATTTGCGTTTTTAGTCATTTTAGGAGACAAATTCGAAAGGGATAACCTCTTTTGTCTCTTTTTCACCTTTCATTTCATTTCATTCGAATTTGAATTTGAATTGTGAATAACCAGTAATGTGTATTCTTTAGCTGAATATTTTACCTTGTACCTGTCTGAATTTGTGATCTGTTGGGTACCCCTGTCTTTACATGTATAACTAAATGAGCCTTTACTTTATTGTTGTCTAGTTTCTCAACATTTTGTAAGTGTAGTTTCTGACTTGAATAGTAACCAGTGATGATGATGCCTTTTATTACTCCGTCTCGGAGCATAGGCCACAGATAAAGCGCCTCCACCCTCCTCTGTCTCTGGCCATCTGTTCAATCCGATTCCAGGTGTAGCCTTTTAACTGGATGGTAAAAGTAATAGTAACTAGTACTACCGGAATATTACCTGCCCAGCCGGTTTCTCACTCCCTGCTGGCTCCCTCAGTGTAAGCAGCATGAGGAGTCCAAGAACAAAGCCAGCGAGAAGAATGTGCATTTCGTTATTGGGATGCTTAAAGGGTTAAAGTGTCCATACGGTCTACAAGGTTTCTGTAGTTTTGGTATCTCTATAACATCTAAAAATGTATTCAAACCAAAAAAAATTAATTCCGACGCTTTTTTTGCCATGAAATCAAGCTTTAAATTTGCCGCTTCGGCCACGCCCAATGAAGTTGACCGCGTAATGAAAGATTGGTGATGAATGACGTCACTTCAGGAACATTTCAAAGCTTCATGTTTTTAATTTGCCTGCTTGACGACCGCACTGTCTCACCAACTTCGGTTTGTTTAATTTATTGTCGACGAAAACTCCTAACCGCTACTGAAACAACAGTGACCTGAACTAGCACAATTTGGCAACTGCTGACGTGACGTCACGACCCATTCAAAAACCCAGGCCCTTTTTTTGCACTGACTCACGGTCAACTTCATTGGGTGTGGCTGAAGCGGGAACTTTAAAGTTAGATTTTAGGGCGTTAAAATGTCGGAATCCAATTTTTTTTTCTATGAATACCTTTCTACACATTATAGAGATACCAAAACTACAAAAACTCTGTTGGCCGAATGGACACTTTAACGATTGTTCTCTCGTGACTTGTGATATCCTCGGTAAAATGCAATACACTTGATACTTAGGTTAAATTATCCCATGGGGAGTCGAGACTTCAACTTCATCCCACCCCCCTCCCACCGGTACCATTCTCGGCGTTTAGGGAGTGCAAACAGAGGATTGAGGGAATCGAAACCGGATTCGGTAGCTTTGTCTAGAGGAAAATGCGCGTGGTGTATTGGTTTGTAGCCGAGGGATAAAGGTGTTCAATGCTTACGATTTCGTCTTTAGCGCGTTTCTCTCTCAAAATGGGCTTCAAAAGGTTTTTTGAGATTATGCGAAAGCTACAAGTTTTGGAAGATGTCAAATCTGTTACGTCCCTAAAAGTAGGGCATTTTGGCTCTGAGAGAAGGGAAAATTGTAAGGAAAGCAAACGCCGGATAAAGTTCAAATGCCTGGGGACCATGGGGCTAGGCAAACAGTAGAAGTTGAAAGGAAAATAACTCAAACGCAGTCATGATATTTAACACCTGTCGTAAATTAATATAACTCTTTTTGCATTCTTTAATAATGTGCCTGTCACACGATGTGGTAATTCTTTTAATCCCAACAGTCTTGAATGATGTTACTGGTATTAGAACCGAGATTACATCGTGTCCTCAAAGTTCCGTTTTCAAACACAATGTACCGAGCTGTCATAGACGAGCCGCTTCTAGTAATACCCACTTTTTGCTTTTAGTAATTTTTTCTTCCTCGTGTCCGTCACTCTCCCCAAGCCGGTTCTGGCTTGGCCAAATTAGTAACGCATCGTCACACTACTGGAGTTTCAAAGGAAAAAAGGCTCTAACACCGGGATGCGAACTTGCGAACGTTGAATTACAATGTCGGCCGTCTTAACAATTGCGGGCAATTCCACCTAATGATTAAGGTCAATAAAATTTGCCGGTCGCGTAAAAGAAGGGGAAAAATCGGCCCACCGAAAAAGAAAATACGAATATGGAACCGCTGATTTTATCTAGCAGTGGTTATATATAAAACATTTTCACGACCGTGTGTTTTGAATTCGGTATCGACGCAGTACAAAAATAAATACACGTGTGGTTTGTTTACATAGCTGTGAATGCCTTGTTAACAAGCCAATTCGGCTTTTTCTTCGAGGCTTCTGTTGATGATCGTTCGAGGAAAGGGATTCGTGAAATACCGTCAAGATAAATATTGCGTCGAAATGTAATTTCACCTCGCAAAGTAAATTTTAGGACTGTGAGTTAGCGAAGTAAGTTGGGGGGATGCAAGGATTCAATCTTGTAAAAGAAGGTATCATACGTCGCATTTCTACCGTGTCGAATTCAATTCAATTAAGTGCGGCAAAAATGCGACTGTCAATTCAGACGTCGCACTTGTGTCGAACTTATTTCATAATTGATACTGTCGGGTATGTCGTCCAGCATAAGATGTTTTAAACGTAGAGTATTCAATATGGCGGACGAACATACTGAGCGACGAAGGACTTTAATTTTGCCAAAAATTGTCCGCCAATGGAACGAGGAGGAGAAGGCTGACAGTGCAGCAGTATGTGCTGCAATATGTTCATGTTGCATTGGGTCGAGAATGGGCAAGTTTCTTCTTTTTCTTTGGCGGAACCAAATTTACGCATGCTCAATACATTGACATAATGTATGAATTACATTCGACACGGCAGAAATTCGACGCTTGAATCGGTGTCGCATCTTTGTGGGATAGTGCGACAAAACCAGTCGAACGTGC